GTGACGTTGGGACAACGTCTATAATCACATCCTAATATTTATTACAAGATCTTACCAACGTCGGACCAACAGTTATAACCAACCTCCATTTCAAACGTTTACCGACGTCGGGCCAATTTCATACTGTGACGTTGCGACCACGTCTATAATCACATCTAATATTTACAACCTCTAACGAACGTCGGCCAAACGGTTGTAACCAACCTCCATAATAATTAGACGTTGTCGCAACGTCAAAGTACCTTGTTGGCCCGACATCGGTAAACGTTTGAAATAGATGTTGGGTACCACCGTTGGGCCGACGTTTCTTAGATGTTGTAAATATTATGTATGATTATAGACGTTGTCGCAACATCACAGTACTCTGTTGGCCCGACGTCGGTAAACGCTTGAAATTTACAACTTATAACCAATGTCGGCCCAACTGTTGTCACCAACCTCCATTAACGTTTACCGACGTCGGGCCAACAAAGTACTGTGACGTTGGGACAACGTCTATAATCACATCCTAATATTTACAACCTCTAACCAACGTCGGACCAACGGTTGTAACCAACCTCCATTCTAAACGTTTACCGACGTCGGGCCAACAGCGTACTGTGACGTTGAGACAACGTCTACAATCACATCTAATATTTACAACCTCTAGCCAACGTTGGGCCAACTGTAGTACCCAACCATCTTTTTAGTAGTTTGCCGACGTCGGGCCAGTAACAAATCGTGACGTTGTACCAACGTCCGTAGTCAGACTGAATATTTACGACGACTTACCAACGTTGAGACGACATCGGAAAATCGACAAATATATTCATACGTTGGGCCAACGTGAAATTCCAATGTTGGTTTGACGTTACCTCTCCGACCAAATTTTGCAACCAAACACCAACGTCAGATATCCGACCCGACGCTTACCGACGCTTGCCAACGTTTACCAACGTTGGGCCAACGTCGCTTTGCTAGCTGGGTACGTTGGAAACTCTCGATAAGATCTATATGTTTTTTCTAAATGAGGACACCAAACCACAACACTAAGCTCAAGATGCGGTCTAACAAAAGCCTTATATAATGACAAAAATATATCAGGTTCCATAGAAGCCTACGACGTGAAAACACGCCTAATAAGTCCCATTAATCTATTGGCTTTACATTTTTATGAATGTGAGCTTCAAATGATAATTTACAATCAATAGTGACACATAAGTCCTTTTCAGATATCACATGCTTTAGTTTTTGGGTACTAATATTAGGATCTAAAGCATAGTCATATTGTACATCGATTGCATTTCTCCTTCTCAATGGTAGAATTTTACATTTCTGACTATTAAATTCGAGCTGTCATGTCAATGACCATTCACGCAGTTGCTCTAAATCATCCTGCAACTGTGCATAATCCCTATATGTTGATACATCCCTATAAAATTTGGTATCATCAGCAAATAAAGACATCTCTGAACTAACATAGTTAGGCATATCATTTATGTCAAAAAACAACAGAAGTGGTCCTAACACACTTCCCTGCGGGATGCCACTTGTGACATTAGTCCAGGAGGATGAATGCCCATTTCCTGTTACTTTTTGAACTCTGCCAAATAAAAAAGCTTGAATCCATGCACCTACTCGACCAACAACTCCATTAGGCTCAAGTTTACCAATAAGTCTTCTACGAGGAACTTTATCAAAAGCTTTGGCAAAATGTAAATAAACTATATCCACTTTTCCCCCTTGATCTAAATTCTCAGTCCATAGATTATAGATATAGATTTGAACAAATGGAGTGTAGTGGAACGTCCAGGTATATAAAGCCAAATTGTCTGATAATAAATTATTATTATTATTATTATTATTATTATTATTATTATTATTATTATTATTATTATTATTATTATTATTATATTTTAAATGATCCATCAAACTATATCTAATGATAGATTAAAGAATTTTGCAGATTACGGATGTGAGGCTGACAGGCCGATAATTCTCAGAAACTGCTTTGTTACAGGGGTGGCGCCAAGTGGGCCCTGTCTCTTATACACATCTCCCCCGCCGTCGGGGAGAAAAAGCACAATTCGTCGGGGAGAAAAAAAATTCTATGTCTTTTTTACATATTAGTAGACTCTAAAATCGATTAAATACGCCTTTTAAACCCATAAATTGTCAAACTTTTTCGGGGCTTCGCCGACTGGACCACTTTCGGAAACCTTTTAATCGAAGCTCGACCACGCTCACTTTGCTTTCGTCGAGGAAATCTGACCTCTCGTCGGAGCATCGGCCTCCGTCGGGGACCTCGCCCCCCACCCCACCCCGTCGGGTAAATCCTGGCGCCACCCCTGTTTGTTTTACCTTTTTTTTAAATAGCTGTAATGATTCCATGTCGCCATTGCTCGGATTCCATGTCTCCATTTCCCCATTGCTTATACATAGCATAAGACAGTAGTCCTAGAAAACAAATTTAAATATTAAAACAAAGATAAATAAATTGCACAAGATAAGGATAAAAATTAGTTACTGTATTAAGTTAAAGTTTCTTTTATCATCATTCAGAGATTTTTGTTTAAAATTTAATTTGGAACGTTGCACAGTGGGCCAGACTGAAGTAAAAGTGTGCCAAAATTAATTACTCATTACAGAAGCTAATCTAAGCGAATATAAGACTTATCTAGAGGTTTTCATACCCGTAGAATGCAATAAAAGCATTTTCAAATCTATATGACGTCATTTTTGTACTGCTTTCTGAGTGGACGATGTCAGTTTTCATTGTAACACCAAATCAAGTTCATATTGCAATGATTTTTGAAATGTTTAAGGATGTTTGGGACAAAAGAACTTCTGTGGGAAACTTTTTTGTATTTTCAATGACGTCATCAAAATACATTTTTCTGATTAGACGGGGCCGAAAGAGTTTTAGGCATAGGCCAACATTAAAATTGTTTATTTATTTTTTTATTTATTCAATGGAACCACCTTTATATCGGTGGCACACATCATTCAGTGGTGCATCCACATTACAAAATACAAAATTATACAAATAACATATTAAACTACAGGAAAAGAGAAAAGTTCTAAATTCTAATACAAAATACAAATGATACACCTAGATATATATAGAGCTTATCAAATATATATGTATATATACATGCATACATACATATATAAATACACACATATATACACACACACATATATATATAATATTATATATATATATACATACACATACTCATACATACATACACATACTTACATCAATACAATAATTGTATGAAGTTAATTAAGCTGCCTGTACATAAATAATAATACAATAATAATAATAAGTATCATAATAATAATAAAAGTAATAATTACATTACATCATATATTTTGTTTGTCATTAATTAATTAAATTTCGAGAGAGGTAATGCTGATATTATTGTAGATCTAGTTGTCCATGCTTTAATTAAATATTGTTTACAATAAAAATCAAAAATTTCTCCTAATGTTTCATTCTCAGTGAATAAATTATCAAGCATAAAGTGGCATTTTAATTCTTGTGATCCACAATTAAACATATCCCAATATGTATTTAACTTATTTTCTATGAGGCTGTTCTTAAGATTTAAGTATACATCATTTCTGACAGAGTTTAGTGAAGTACAATTAAACAAAAAGAAAAAAAAAAGAAGGTTAACTGTTTCTTATTCGTCAGTAGTACAAATATTACACAGACCTGTGTTATTTTTTGACCAGGATTGTGTACGACCCTCAAGATCTAAAGAATTTGATCTTGCTTTAAACTTTAAATTAATACTCTTAAAATCATTTTTTTTCCTAGCAAATATTGTTCAAAATTTGGAGTTCCTTTATACATAATATATTCTGTTAATGTTGATTTGCTTTGAGCTCTTGCAAACCACTCTTTATAGTCAACTTGTTTATTTTTTTTTTTT